ACAAAATATTCTCTTGTTAATAGACAAAAGGCTGCCGATAACCAATTGAATAATAGGAAAACTATATCACAAATATTCATAAAAAAATCTATCGAAACAAAAAGAGCATAGCCTTTTTGAAATATAGTGACATTATTATTATGAACGACTTGCTTCACAATAGTAAGATAGATTGAAAAAGAAGAAAGTCTAACTTAGATAATTCACGTTAATAAACATTGAAATAGAAATTATCAAATCAAAACTAAACGCAGGAATGCCCCGAATCAACCAACATTGGGAGGGGGTGTGGGTATGAGTGTGGGTGTGGGGTGGGTGTGGATGTGGGTGAGGGTGTGTGAGTGTGGGTGTGGGTGTGGGATGTCGGTTAAATAGAAACTGAAGACACATTCACGCACACCCTGAAAGTATTTCTGGTGCCACATACCGTACTGGAATAATATTCAAGGTCGTTTTTGCTGCACCTGGTGCTAATGAATATAAGTTACTATGTCGACTGAGTCAAAAATCCGTTATTTTGACAATATTATTTCTTGGATTATTTTCATCAAAACGAAAAACGAGAACATTTCGACATACTAAATCAGCATGAGCTAGCCCGTTAAATGCTAAAAAGATCATTGCATCGATACTTTATAAGAACATTTGAACAAGAATTTTTTTATTCGGACCTTTTTTTCGTTCTTGTAAGAAATCATATAAAACTTCCCATCGATGCATATTCCTGTAAAAGCATAATTGCATTAGGGTGTGGGTGGTTTCAATTCTTCGCCCCACACCCACACCCACACCCAACAAGCTGGTAGCGTTTTATATGAGCATTATGTTATAGAGTAGAAGGCTCTTAATCTTAAAATAATTACTGTCACTCGTGTAGGTGTAAAAAATCTCATCAAAAGAATACTAAACTTAGTTATAGTTAGTTGTTAATTTTTCGAAAGAAAATATGATTGACACAAGGATACCTACACTCATATTTCACACTCCACACTATTTAACGTTGAGTAAGAGGCCGATGATGTGTTGCGACCAAGATAAGTTTTTGCTGAAAAAACACGCATCATGATATCAACTATTTTTTATCGAATTTGTAAGTGACTCGTGCTGGTGTGAAAAAATGCCAGAAGCGATTATAAATACAAGAAGCATCTTTTAAATATTGTTATTCTTCTTTCAATCCCAAAGTCGTCTGATACCAGCAAGACAAAAATTAGGTTTGTGTTTAAGTGATTAATAGTTAGGTGTTTATCAACGAATTTTAATCAGATGATTTGCAAAGTCAATTTTGCTTGATATTTATAAAAGAATATTGGGGAGTAGCTCCACACTTTGCCTTTAATACGTCGCTGCTATCAGAGAACCTAAGATGAGAATAGAAAATTGTGAATGATTTTCATATAAACCGCTCATCAATGTATAGAAACTCAGCTTTGTCCCAGTTCGCCTCCAGAGTAAAACTTCATCGTGCTCCAACCTAAATTTCTCTTGATTTTCGGTCAAAAGCTTTTCTTATCATATGAACCTGGAAACACTGAGCATAGAAGATATTTCAAATCATGACTGATACCATGTAAACAGTCGAGCTCGTGCGGCATTGGATTGAACGCAGTATAGTAGGGTAGAAAACTTAATTACTGCTCATGCCATGATCTTCGAGTAGTGTTCCAATTGGTATCTCCACGCAATCAAAATCAAAAATGCATTACACAAAAATTCTCATCAGAAAGAACTAAGCTCACAAATATCATTATTCAGGAACGTTGCCCAGTACAACGATAATGTAAAAATGAATCAAAATCGAAAAATCAGACCATGTATGGCGAAAAACTATTATAAACATAATAATTTTTATACCGAAAAATCATGGATAAATTCTACGCGACTTTTATACAACTTGAGCCCTGTAGCCATCAGATTTGCAATAGTTTTAATGCTCGAGAGCTATTAATGAAACCGAAAACATTTTTCGCAAAAACAGAAGAGGTATCTTTTGTTCTATCATTCGGTATTGTTCCAAGTAGATGCCTTTGGGCCATCGATCTACTGAAAATAATGATCGTCCAATTTCTATATCAGAAGAAACCAAACCGCACAGCTCAAAGATGAATAAAAATAGAATAAACTTCCATTATTTTTACAGACTCTGTTCTCATAATCTTAGAAAAGCTCAAATTCATAGATGAGTAAGAATAACCATGTAGACATCAAAAATTATATATTATATTCGGTGAGTGTGGTTTTTTCTCAATATGCATCGATATCCACATTACCCTCAGGTTTTACGAGTAAGCTTGAATAAACTAGGCAATTATTACGTCCCAAGCCGTTTATTTTAGCCATGAACATGACTTCAGTAAAATCAAACCAAGTGGATATTTCCAACAAGGAAGCTCTTCACTCAGTGTTAACGTTTTTGGTAAGCTTTTTATTCCCCATTATCAAACAAAAAAAAAGCATTTTTTCAAGAGAGCACATTTTCCAGAAGCACTTCAACTATGGCAATTTCTAAGCTATTTACAACGAGGTTTCATCACCAAAGAACATATCCGACCACACCAATTGTTTGTCGATGATCCAGATCACATAAAATGTGTTGTATTTGTATATTCGCCCGTAGGCTTTCTATTAAATTATCCGTCATCACATGAGGAGAAAGAAACGAGTGAAAGACATGTAGCACTCTTTTGCGACAATAATCATGATCAAGTACTTATTAACTTACTCGAGTTATGTGTTCCATGGCTTCAAGTAAAAACAATCGAGTTCGGTGCCCATGCTCATCGATTTTCTGCAATAATTGAAAGCCTCGTTCGTGAAAAAAATTTTGGTGATTTAGATTTGGATTGTTGTTTTCAAATGGAAATCGATCAGACAACATTAGAAAAGAAGAAAGAGCTAATTATGCAAAATTGTCCACCAAGTACGCATCTATTGTTTTGTTCTTTTAAAAAATAGAGATTATTAAAAATATCCTTCTTACTATATAATGACTTCATGTTAACGTATTTTAACTTTTCCAAGATGCAAACTCGTTGAAGATAACTTCCACCTATCTGTACAGGAAAACAATGCTTTAAATTTTCTTGAAAAATATTTTCTCTTGATATTTTCAAGACGAAAATTTAAAATATATTTTTGTTCAATCGTGAAATTTAGATTTTTATATGAAGTGCTTGAGTTTCGCTTCTCATTTAGCAATCACAGCATCGTTAGAACAAATCCAAATTTCAGATGTCATCTTTTTAGATGTTGTCATTCAACGTTTGTCGATAGCCGATGCAAAATTAGTTGACGACTGTTTCGCATATAAATCGCCGTTCTCGCTTAGCTGTATTTTGTATCAAATCGAACATTTACCAGCATTTGGTGAGCTTTATATAGTAACATAGAGCAAAAAAACGAGATCAAGATATATTGGTTGCTTCTTTTTAAAGGTGCATATCGTGATGGACAGTTAGTGAGTTGGTCTTTGACACGATTTACCGGTTCGTTTGGAATGACGTTTACGCTACCTGAATTTCGTCGACTCGGTCTTTCAACCATGGTTAATGTATCATTGGCCTCGGAATTATTCAAGTTTCAAGAACACGTATTCTGCCAGGTGATATGTAATAACGAAGCATCATATAGGATGTTGCAAAAATTAGGTTATCAACAAAAATGTTGTGTAGATTGGGTTACTGTGACATCAAAATAAAAATAGAAATTTCTAAGAATAATTAAAATGAATTTTTTTCTTCGACAAAGCATTTATAATCGAGAGCTAGGTCAAGCGAAAACACTTTTTAATCCAATATTCTTTGTATATTTGCAATGAACATTAATTCATTTTTAACTTTGTTGGATAACAAAAGCTAGCCTGGGTGTGGGATGAGTGTGCGTTTGGATGTTGATATTCTCTGCACTCAGAACTTATACCCACGTCCACACTCACACCCTCTATGTCTGTTTGTTGTACAATTGAAAAACCAGTTTTTGAACTATATCTATTAATGTGTTATAGGGATTTCTTTGTTACTCTCTTATTTACCTATTTAAACATTTATTAATGTAGATAAATCATAGAGATTGATGAATATATCAGTTGATATCTTTTATTCAATCGGAGCTCTTTTTTTCTTTTGTGATTTGAAAATGTTTTATTTTTGTGTATTATAAATCGTTGTGTGATTATTGAAGTGGAAAATGAAATAAAAGTTTACTTATGTGGTTAGAGACGAGTTTAGTGTTTCTCGTACACTTTGTATACTTTGTTTTACAAAACAAAATGTATGGATGCATGGTATTCTGAAAAACACGGTGTACTCGTACATTCTATTTCAGATTCGATTCTGGTCACAAAAGACTATAAAATATGCATTTGATATCTAAGATATGAATGATCGCTTCAAGACTGAATCATTCATAACCATTTAAGGAAACTATCAGCTGTTAACTATCATTTTTGACATTTTTATATCTCGCAAATGCAACTGAACCTCGAAAAACAGGTTTTAGATGTACACTCGTCAGATTCTCACCATCTCAATAAACTTTTCTTCAATTCAAAATGATGATAAGGTGCTGATAATGAATGACTATCTTGAATCGTGACTCATGCCTCAAATGGAAGAAGAATTTGCCATAGTAACTAAGAGATTGAAAAAGCAGTAAGTTTGTTAGAATCCGACATCTATCATTCTAACTAGCATCATATATGTATATGTTATTATTTTTCTCATTGGTTTACTCAATCGATATGTATAAGATCGATTGATATAGTTTTGTTTTTGTTGTGCAAGAAAATGTGTTTTACAATGCATGACGTCAATACCTTCTTTTTTTCCTTTTAAAATTAGTTTTCTTTCATTCTTCATTCTGAACACGTGTCTTGCGTAGCACTGATGCAATTACATTAATATTTAAATACATTCCATCATGTTTCCCAGTTTATTACTTTCCATATTGATTTTTTGAAGGTAATCTCCACAAAATTTTAAGATTTAATACAATTAAACAGTATGACAACATCGAGTACAGATTGTATTGTACATAATAGGAAATATCTATCGAAATTTCATGGAATTATTAATAAACTTCATCGAACAAATGAATTTAGTTTTTCTGTTCTACAACGATTACCAAAGCGATGTTGTACATGTCACAGTCAAACAGGTTAGTAGAATAGATTTTATTATTTTTATTTTCATTAGATAAACAAAAACAATAACGAAAAATTTTCAAAATAGCCTAGAGAAAATAAGATATTCATATATTGTTTTTCTTAGGTGAATATTCATTGACATTGGATGACTTACGTAAACTTTGTCAAGATATTAAATCAACAGAAGAACAATTTCCATCGACATCTACTTGTCTAAAATGTAGCGATTATGTTATACTTGAGTTTTCTTCGATGCTGAGTCCAATTCAACGTATGTACCAAGTTGGTCGCTTTGTTGGACGTGGTGGTGTGCATCTTCGTCTTCTTGAACGTACATTAAATGTCCGTATAAATATTATCAATAATAAATCCAGCAAAAATCTTCAGCAAATGATCGATAAAATTAAAACAAAAAATAAAGAAAGTCATAAAGATGGTCTTTGGATATTGATTAATATGAAAAAAGATAATCATAATCATGAAAATAATCTCGATAAGATTAAACAATTATTACAAGATGAATGGAAAAAAATCGATGTTCTTATTACCAAAAAGAAACGAACAGTAATAAATCCATCCTCTCAAACAAGGATACTATCAAAAACAAATATTTTTCGAGATAATCGTTGGAAGCCTAAAGATCATAGACGAAATAAGAAATATCAACAAAAACAGAAAGAATCTATCGTACCTGAAGAAGTTCTTCCACAACCATTCGTTCCACCTATATCAATGCCTAAAGAAGTTGTAAGATCTCATAAAACTAAACGAACGTAACCGATCATTTATTCAATATTTACAAACAAATTAATTTATTTATTTTCATTTTTCATATTACTAACTAAGTGTGACTTTTTTTTCATATTTTTCTGATATCTATACTATAGAAACCATTTCGATACATAAGAATCTTATTAAATATTAGTCAATGATAATAATTCATTTACTAGTTGTACAATTGAAATAAACATATGTTCAATTGGATTGTATAAGAGACTATATATAGATTTTATTTAAAAAGAAGGATAATCATTTAACAGCATCTCAAACTCTATGTACTTTATTTATCCGATTTGTTTTGACCGCTTGTGTAATATCCAAATGCATTATTATATATAGAATTTTCGAGAATTTTCTTGCACAAAATGATTTAATAATTGACAATTGGTTAACTATCCTGAAAATTTATCGAACAAATAAAATTAATGGATTTGTAAATATTGATTGCTAGATGACCATCGATGTAGACATTAAATCTTCTAAGAAATAAATTTGAATGATGATGATAGTAAAAATAAAAATATCTATTCAATGAGAATATCAATTAACTATATGAGGCCTTTTATATATTTCCGTCGTTTAAATGTGTTTAAGACCTTGAGTTTGTTTGCTTTTCATAGAAAAGTGAGAGGTTCTTTTCAAAAATTGTAAATGATCATCGAAAACGAAAAAAGATCAATCAACAATGGTTAATGTTCGATTAAAAATAGATCAGATTAGTCGACTATCGTTGTCTAGATATGGTTACTTTTCATTAACGAACATTTTTCTATATGATCGATCGATTATATCATCTGAAAATCGATAATTATGATTCAAACGATCTCTATCCATATTTAATATGAATTTTTTAATTCAATTAAAATATTTAACATAACAATAAAATTCAAAGCAGTTCATCAATTTGAATTATATTTTTCAAAGATAACTAAATTTAATATTACACACAACACTACTTTGATTACTGTCCTATTTGAAATTGTTCATTTTAATAAATATTGTTCTATGTTCAGCTTGTTTAAAAATTCAAATTTTACATTGCACAGCTCTTCTGATTTTTGATAAAAAAAACGTTATAGTATATATGTATGAGAATATGATCAAAGAAATGTTTATTTTTATTTTCATAGTCGATATTAATTTATGTTTGTTTTTGAAGATTTTTAACCTTCTATTAAAATAAGTACGAGTTAATTTTGAAATTTAAAAATTGTTATTAAATATTGATGACTAAAAAAATCCATTGTTTTCCTTGACAATATTATTAAAAAACCTAATGTAAATTCTATACGTGTTATAAGAAAATCAATTTAACCTACTGTTATTTTTTTGAAAAACAAACGATTGTTGATGTTTCTTTGATAGAACAAGATTGTAGTTATTTATAACTTCCTAGATTTTTCATATGAATATTAGTTATTTTGAGATAATTATAAAAGCTAATTAAATAAATCGTGAACGCTTGTATTAACTCCAAGCTTCAATCTTCCTGTTCAAGAATAGTTCTCGACAACTTTAGCTATCCTCATCGGGTTGACACAAAAATGGCAGCTAGACTTTTCAGAGTTCTTCACTCTCAAACTCATTTTTCACAAATATTTTCGAACATCATTGTCTACTTTCATTTTTTTATAAAAATCAGTCGACGCTAAAAACTTTTTAGAAGAACCCGTAGAAATCTTGAGCCATCAAATTTCTTAAACGTTGTTGCTCATGTTACACATATCTTTTAACATGTTCGAGAGAATTTATCTAACCGTTGTTTAATCCAGAAAAGAATAATGTTAAAAGATATTATGTTGCTAAATAGAATGAAACGTTAGAAAGAAAAGGGTGTGAGTATGAGTTTGGTGTGGTATGGCTGCGAGTGTGGGTGTGGAAATGGATGTGGTATGGGAGAAGAATTAACTAACATCAACATCCATATCCAAACCCACACCCACACCCTTATTGAGGTTTTCGGGTACTGAAACCTACACACTAGAGAGTCACCAAGGTATATGGAATAAAAGAGCTTTTATATTTTTAGTAACAAAAATTATGTAGTTTGTGTTTCACATTTTTAATCCCGAAAGGGATTGTGCTAGTAGCTTTCTTGATAAAAAAATTTTTTTGAATCACATTCAACTATTTTTTTTTATTGAATATTGAATTATTCTTTTCGGTTATAACTATCGGAGCAATTCAATATTCAATTAATTAAAATACTTGAATATGATTTTAAAAAATAAGCGAACTATTGTGATACTGGAACAGACAGAAGAGTTCACTTATTTATTAATCAAAAGAAGGAAACATTTTTATAGAGTTGAGGTTGAATTTTTTTTTCTTTTTTAGTGCTGGGCGGGCGAGGGTGTACAAGGGTATCGCTCATTTGGCACAGAGAGACTCTCAAAGGTTGGAAAACATAGGGAAGGTCTACGATACGCGTACGTATGTATGTATGTATGTACGTGAATTAACCTTACCAATATCGACCTTTGTACGTCTAACATACAGTCTCTCTGTACGTGCACGCGACATGAATAGATAGACATTTATTTATGCAATCAATTGACTTATTTCTTGTTCCGTTTCGAAGCGTCTTTTCGATAACAAAAAAACAGAACAGAAAAACTATTTTTGTTCATTAATTGTGTAAGTGACTATTTTATGGAAAATCGCTGTACTCGATGATTCCAACAATCGACGACATAGAGATTGTTCTGACGATCAAATGACAAACCTATGCCACCGGTGAGCCGATTCGTTTGATTTCCTTCGCCATTTCCACTAACAACGATACTTCCCTTTTTGGCTCCTTGTGGCCAACACATTATTCGATGATTTCTAGAGTCAGCCACATAAACAGTGCCCAGTTGATCGACAATCACTCCATGGGGATCATATAATTGTGTAAGAGCATTTCCTTCACCTTGACCACCAGCCACAACAATGCCTTCTTTCGTTCCTTTCACCCACTTCATCACACGATGATTGTTCTCGTCCGACACGTACACTGAATGATCTCGATCAACGCAGACGAACACAGGAATATTGAATTGATCGAGATGATTACCTTTTCCATTACCACCTGCCACCACTGTTCCATTCGTTTCACCTATTCGCCATCGTTTCACTTCATGCTTTTCCGTATCAGATACATAGAGAGATCCCTCGTCGTCCATCGTCAAACCTCTACATTTGATATCTGCGATGATCGTTTGTCCACTTGTGCCACCTCGACGAGACCATCTCACCACTCGACGGTTCCATCTGTCACAGATGATGAGACTATCTGTTTGTTTGTCGATAATCACATCTGACGGACAATTCAACTGATCATTCTTGTTTCCTTCTCCATTTCCACCGGCAACTACTTTCCCATTCTTTGTACCATACTTCCATTCTACAATACGGTGATTGTGGAAGTCAGCGATGTAGAGAGTTTGATCATCATCAACATATAAACTGAGTGGGCCAGACAGTTGATTGAGCTTACTGCCCCATCCATTTCCCCCAGCCACAATGATGCCATTCTGAGACCATTTGGAATTTAGAAGAATCTGTGGCCATTCTGCAATGAAAGAGAAAAAAAATGATGAAGTTGTGAATAAAAAGGATTCGAGTGAATCGAAAGGACTTGAACATGAGAGAAAGTTCAAGATTCATAGCTGTCAAAAAAAGTGTCACATGTGATCGATGAACATGATTTTTGAAAGTATAGTCGATATGATGAGATTTTTTTTTCACAACGACATGCATATGTATCTTTCTCAGGACGGCATATTTAAGCTGATGTTTGGCGACTCTAACTAACTAATGAACAGATCCTTTACACCTCGATCTACCCAGTAGCTGTGATTTGTTTAATTTTGAATTGAAATAATGGAAGTGAACCTAGTGACATCAATGTATGCAAAATAAAGTACATACAAGTGCGATATCCGTGCAATGCTTTACCTCTTCATTGTTGAGTGGCATGAGTGATGACGACGACCTTCTATTACGTGACCAATCGTCTTGTTCACTAGATGTTCGAAGGTACAGTTCGAAAATTCGAGTATTGTGTTTGTTAACCATCCAGTGAAAAATGTTTATCAAATAAAACAGCAAAGAACACGTTCATCAAAAAGATGGAACGATTTCTTTCGTGTTCCATTATATTGCTCACTGATTTATTTTTTTTAATTCAAAATAATTTTTTGTTTATACGGAACGTGTTCTGTGTCAGTTTATCTGTCTTCATACGTACAAATAAAAAAAATTCGTTCGGCACTTTTCTTATAGTGAACAAATGTCGTTCGATGCATTCAAAAGTATTTTGTTTAAGTAAAACAATGACAAAAATGAATGATTTTAGTTTTCTCTTGTAAACAGTTAGTGTTCGCAGATGAATATTAAGCTACTGATATCAAGACATTTGTACATTGAATAAATAAGTATACCGTACAAATGAAGAGTACAAAAAACATAAGTAGCAAAAAAAAAGAAAAGGAAAATATCCAAAACTTAGATTTATTATTTTATAGAAGAAAAAAATTATAATAATTTAACCTAGTGTGCGAAAGTTTTTGCACAAAGTGTTTGTTCAATTTTCTACCATTTAAAAGTTAATATAGAGAATGAAAAGTAGTCAGTTAGGATCAGGAATTGATGCTATTTCAAAATGTATGTTCAGAATTAGTTTCTGACTTAAAGCTGATTAACTAGGAATAAATACTTGAATGGACTCAAAAGGGACTTCTATACAAACAAGACTAACAAGGAAACATTCTCAAATGTCCAATCTATTTTCGGCAGGAACTTAGTGCATCTTGTAGACCTTGATGAACTATGTCTATCCCAAAAAAAGAGTTCCTGCTTATGGACTGTTTCTAAGAATTTTACAGTTGAAGACTCTCGTGAGTAGTCAACCACAAAAGATACAGAATATTCAGAAAATTTTTCTTTCTATCAAATTTTGTAAAACTTTTTCTGTTGATCATTTTGTTAAAAAAAGGTTTCGAATTTCATTTAGAGATGGCAGTATTAAGATCAAAATACTAAAAACTTAATGAGTAGATATAAGATCTTATCCGCGAAAAAAATTTAGAAAAAAAGAACGACCCAAATTCTTCTTAATCTTCTACCATGAAAAAGAAAATGCAGTCAAAGTCTTTTATGCTCTATCTATATGTGAGGTGAGTTTCAAGTTTCATCTATGAAGACGAAGCGGGATATAGTTAAGATTGACGAAATTTTATTAATTTAATTATTATGACAATCGCAACATACATGTTGTGAAATGGACTATCCTTTGAAAAGTCTTTATAGAACTCCTTTAAACTCAAATTTCCGACACTAAGAGTGTAACAAAAATCAATATTTCATAAGCAAATGTTTTTTTATAGAACCTTTCTCATCTTTAACAATACAAATTAACTTACCTTTTGTTGACGATACTTGTCCAGATGGTTTGGGTGTAACACTTACTGTGGAATATTTTTCTTCCTTTTTTTGTGAACTTGATGTATGTGATGATGATTTCGATTCAGGTAAACCTTGTTGCCATTGACTGAGATCAAAAGGAACTGCAAGCATTTTATACGATGGTAGAATTTCACGAAGATGAATGACATGTAAACCATTAACCGAGCTAGACGTATCGATCACTTTGAGATATATGCCTGGAGGAAGAAGAATTTCATTCTCTTCTGGGAAATAGGAATGTGATCGAATAAGTTTCCCATTATTGGTCTCAATGGAGAACATTGTTCTTGCGCCAGAAGTTCCCACATATTGTAAGGATTCGAGTACATTGATTGAAGAAGTACACGAACTTATTCCCCACCATGTAAATTCTTTACCCGTCGGATAAAGGGTGCTTAAATCTTCGGGAATACCACGCCACACCGTTTGATATTCAGTTGGCCTGAAATAAAATCATATCATGTTACATAGTCATGCATATATGTTACGTACGGTAATTTAAAAAATGCGGTCAGAAACAATTTTAAATATTTGAACCACGGTTGCAATTTTCTTCGATTAGCCATGCGCAACGTACGATTCAACACTGCATAAAGACTATTTCCAGTTTTCTTCCATTTCATCGTGTATAAATAAATGGAAGCTGGCTCATCCTGAGTCAGCCCATCTTCAGGTTCTGTCGAATTCGCTTTTGCAATAATTATATTTTGTTTGAGTTCTTCGTCGAGAATGCCCTCCAAGGGTTTGCAGACATCTTCAATGGGTAAGATGGGCTCTTCTTCGTATCCAGATATTGGTTGAAGAATTTGCGTTGGTTCATCGCGAATACTCTCCATCAGACAAGGATTGACTTCCATGGAAGTGGCCATATGTGTGTGTGTGTCTTACTTCAAATTCGATGAAATTTGAATACTTTGTTATGCTATACAACAAGTATACTTTAAAAAGAACGACTTAGGTAAACAAACGGCAAAACAATGTCATCGAAATGAAGATTTCTCTTATTTTCTTTCGTGCTTCTATTCACAATTTGTCACTTTCACTAGCTGCATGCGTATATATAATTTAAAAGCAATTCTGTTACAACGAAGACTTTAAGAACAAAAAGGCAAAAAACTCTATTCTATATCGTATATATTACAAATCGAAAAAATGTTTGTTTCATAAGCATGATTTCTAATACAGATTTTTACACCACTAATTTAACAACTCGGGATATTAATGATCGTTTAAAATTTTTTTTTTTTGATAATAATTTGTTTCGCGTATTTATTTATAAAACTAAATAAATACGAAGATATCTCAAAAGTTGTTAAAATTCATTATGACACTATTTATAAAGTAATAATTGCGTCAATGACATTTTATCACTTAAAGACGTGCCAATAGCTCACTTGTATTTTAGTGATAAGTGAAAAATATTTTACAAAAATATGGATCTCTTTTAGTAGAGAGTTATTTGAATGTCAAAAGAAAACAAACACGTTCCGCCGAACATGATATGATTTCAAAACTAAAAAGAAATGTAGATTTTCTTTTTCAATGTAACTCACACAGCAAGTTGGCTTATTCGGTGAGAAACCTTTTGAAGTACATAAAACAACTCTCAGTTTGTCTACGGCAGCACTTGGGACCAAAAAACTCAGTTACTATGTAGCGCTGATGAAACACAATCAAAAATGCATCCTTAGAATTTTGAATTTGCAGAGAGAAACACTTCATACAAAAAAAAACGAATATCACAGGACGAACGAAAGAAATATAAAAATAAATTGTTCTTACTTTTTGTTTGTCTACGATAGTACTTCAACGTAGCCGAAAAAAAAGAAAGAATAAATATATTGATTAAAACAACACAAAGCATGTTTTATTCAAAAACGAAAATGGCGCTTTTCGAATTCATTACTGAATTAAAAAATTGATTCCGTTTACATCGATGTAGAGACAGTGGATGCTTCAATTCAATCACATATATATATATATTAATCGTGATACGAAGAGGGTGTGAGTGAGGGCGCGGACGGGTGCGGGTCTGGGGTGTGGGTGTAAAGAAGAAAACTCCCACCTCTACACCCACACGTGCCCACACCCCACACCCCACATCCTTAACTTTCAGAAATAGATTTGTCATAAAGTGTCTAATTTCGAATTTCATAACAAATACTTTGATCTATAAGAAAAACATTTTCTTTATCATAGTACATAATTAAATAAAAAAACCGATGTATTGTGCTTAGCAAAATATTCCACGCAATAATGTAATACATTGAATATTGATCTAAGTGGCTTTGACAATTGGACATTGCTCTTCGTCTGTGGATCATTGCATTCACCGCTCAATTATCTGTTGTCAAAAGCAATTTTCGTCATAATTATTTTTTTGTGTAAGAATTTCATCTTGTCGAAGACTTTATCGTTCTCGATCTGCATGCAAATGAAATAAATATGGAAAGTGCGTGGATGTATGGAATGTGGGTGAGGGTGAGAATCTGTAGATATGGCTGAAAAATGAAATACCCACACCACGCCTACCTCTGATCCTCACCCTTATCAACAGAGGAAATTAACATGTGTAATTTAAAAACACAATGTATGTCTCAGAAAAGAAACAAGAGAAAAAAACATTTTATCAATAAAGAGAACTCAGACGTAAAAGAAAAATAAGCGATTTCAAAAACTAAAATTATATACTTGCATCTACATATGTTGAAAACTAAAATAAATTCAAATGAATTATTTAAATACCATAAATAGGACGAGCATTTTCTCTTAGCTGATAAGCAACATCATTAATGGATATTCGTTGAATTTGTACTACAGTTCCAACAACACTATAAACTATACTTGGATGAGCACAACGTGAAAGGATAAAAGTCTAAAGAAGAAGAACTCGGTAGTCAAATTTAAATGGATTAATATTGTCAATCAATAATAACTTCTTATGGTACAAAATAAGATGAATCAGTTTCAGACGACATTTGTGTTAAATGAAGTTGTTGAATGATACTATGAAGAAAGTTTCCTCGTATTATAATTGAAGTAAAACGAATTTTGATTTTAGGTAAAATAAGATGTAAACAGATGAATATTATCAATTGTTCTAACACAACAATGTAAATAAATCTTGTGGTGAGGTTAAGATACTAAGAGAAAGTGAGAAAAATAAATAAATATTCTGTCATTCATAGAAATATAATATCTTTCAATAAGATTAAAAATCAAAATATTTTTTGTCTAGTATTTATTTGAGCAATAATTAAAATTTGGCATAAAGATAACGTGTAGGTGTGGATGTGGTGAGTTGATATCTTTATACAAACACCCCACCTACACACTATCATTACAGTAGCCGAGAAAAAATAGTCATTGAAATAAAACCGTGGGACTTTTTTAACTATACAGCACGTAATTTCATTTGAAAGATGAGCTTTTAGAGAATTGAAGTCTTTCTTATTCATATTAAGTATATACATACCGGGTGGCCCAAAAGTAAGGAAACAAAAAGGATATGCTATAATAATGGATAATAAATTGTTAATGATATTTTTCATACCTTATATTGATGTAGAGAGCTAAAATTTTTATCACATATATATCTAGTTAAGATCTTTTATGTCTGAAAGTTTCAGCTTTCCACATCAATAAAAAGTGTAAAAAAGATCATTAACAATCTATTATCCATTATTATAGCATACCCTTTTTGTTTCCTTACTTTTGGGCCACCCGGTATATATGACACTGCATCATATAATAGTTTTATGGAGACAAGGAATGCATATTGTAGGTGTGGTTGTGAGCTTTCGATATATTTCAAATGCTCAAAAAAAAGTTGGATCTAGAAAAAATTCCAGAAAAGCATAAGAAATTCATGAAATCGGAACGTCAGACAGCTAACTCGGAAGATCTGGCAATCCTGACCTATAACCACGCCCCGTACTCACACTCTTGAATGTTGATTGATGTCGTCTTGATTTTTTTCTTTCTGATAAATCCTTCACATCAAGTAAACGATTTTGAATCATAAATTTCTAACTTTGGTTTTGTTTATGTGAAGTAAAAATAACAGATCTCGACAGATTTAAAAGCGCTTATTTCATGAACATTTACATCGCCAAAATGTGGAATCACTTCGATCGTGTGTTTCGTTTTCGAAGGACTTTGCCTCAACACTACATTGAGCTTGAATTAATTAACTTGCTGTCAAAATAATTACATTTATGTTAAAAAATTTTAACTTAAACAACAGCAGTACCTTTTATAATGTTCGATGTTACCGGATATTTTTAATTGAATTAGTAAATTCTTAAGTGTTTTGTTCCCACTCCAACAGAGACATAATGTATTTATTTATGCTGTTAGAGACTAGTGTTTGTTAGCATATATTTCACTGTCTGATCGGTAAAAATTAATGTTAGACAATCCAACTGATATTTCGATTTTTTCCCGAGTAGAGAAATCTTCCGCTGACTATCTCTGTTGTTGTACATTGTTAATGTTCTAACCCTTTTGTCATTAAAACATAAAGAAATTACATAAATTAGACCTTGTCTTTGTGTCTCTAGAAGAATTCTCTAGCTACTGAAATATAAATCTTACAAAATACAGAAAACATGGTGAAGGATCGAAACTGTTAAAAAGGAGTTTTTCTTCCAGAAGCAACTAAAAAAATATTGATACTATATAGTTGATGATTCATGTTATATGTTGCCATCCATTAGTAATAGGCGTCTGACATGAAAAATCTAACTTGACAATGACACAACCATTTTTTACACAATCTGGTACTTAAGGGTTTCAGACCATACTCTTTCTTTTTCCTAGCGGAGACTTTTCATGAAAATGTTCGAAAGTAGGTTATCTAGAAGACCATGCTTTTTTGACATACTGGTCGACAAAAAAGCTTTTTTCTGGAAAGTCAAGCAACGACGGGGCACTTCTAATTATATGGCTGTATTCAGCAAAGAATGGGCTACATTTAAAAACATTGAGTCTCCAGCTCTGAATTTTAATTTTTAATTTTTTTAAAGAAATTCCAAAAAGTTGAACGTTTGTTAAAATTTAAATAACTCAACATTGGAAAGTGATGGAGACCTCAGCCAAACGCCATTCAATAGAGAATTGAAAACTAAACAAATGCAGATAGTTGAGGAATTTCTAAGGTAAATTTTATTATCTGACATTTTCTCAAAATCTTTTTTCGGTAGTTTGAGCAAAGTTTGATATCTCTATAAAACCTCGAGATTCTAACAGAATCATTCAAATCAGGCGTCATTAGATTGGCAATATCGAGATACATAAGTAGAAAAAGTTCTCTCTGCTCCAGATAAGGCTAAGCAAATAAATACTAGTTTTATTTTTACCGCAGTTTTTCCCATTGCACAATGGCAGTAAAAAAACATTATGTCCAGAATTTTTCTAACAACCTTTTTTGAAACATAACTAATGATGCTTAAGTGCGCACACACTCAATACTAGCTGTAAAATCTTTTTTAAAGTCGGTTCCTTCGGAAAATACGTAATTTACCTTTGGTCGGAACCCCGAAAACCTGCGGTAAAAATAAAACCA